AAAAAAAAAAAAAAAAAAAAAAAAGAAAATCAATCTCGCGTTTCGTTTGTCGGAAGCTCTAATTGTGAAAAAATGTTCGAAACACAGGAATCAGTTATAGTAAATATATCGAGACGATGCGGTGGGTTTTTAAGGCAGCTCTCTCTCAGGGGATGTCAGAGCATTGGGAACAATTCAATGCTTACATTGGCTGAGTCGTGTACTAACATCGAGGAACTGAATCTGAGCCAATGTAAAAAGATCTCGGACGCTACCTGCGCGGCCCTAAGCTCTTATTGTCCGAAACTCCAACGACTGAACTTGGACTCGTGTCCCGAGATATCGGACATCTCCATGAAGAACCTCTCGAAAGGCTGTTCGCTTCTCACTCACATTAATCTATCCTGGTGTGAGTTACTTACCGATAACGGAGTGGAAGCACTGGTGAGAGGTTGCAGACAACTACGTAGCTTTCTATGCAAAGGATGCCGTCAGTTAACGGACAGAGGTGTCACATGTTTGGCTCGTTATTGCACCAATTTGGAGGCGATCAATTTACACGAATGCAGGGTATTTGCAAATATCAATTAACATGATTTCACTATTCGTATGATTTGCCCAACAAACCTTGTTGATCTTCGATCGTCAGAATATTTTGTCTAATTCTCGATCCGATTGATCGTAAGTTCACCGCGATACGGGCAAGTATACGAGTGCAAAAATTATGGGTTGAGCGTCGTAAAGAACGTGAAATGTATGAAATTTCTCGTGCGATGGATTTATATAATTTTTAATCGTTAGAACATCCGTCAAACTCTTTTCCTCTTCCGATGCTGAACCTGACATATTAGTTATGTAACTATCTTCTATCTGAGAGCGCGGTTTATGAAAACAGATTCGTTGCAGAACATAACAGACGATGCGGTCAGAGAACTCAGCGAACAATGTCCAAGATTGCATTACGTTTGCCTATCGAACTGTCCAAATCTAACGGATGCGTCTCTGGTCACGTTAGCGCAACATTGTCCACTCCTTAGCGTGCTCGAATGTGTGGCTTGCACTCATTTCACCGATGCAGGCTTTCAAGCTCTTGCAAAAGTGAGTTGATCGTTCGTAAAATTGAAAAATCTGTTATATAATCTAAAACGTATAAGTAATCCTTAGTCAACGATACATTTCTTTCGTCTTTCAGAATTGCAGATTATTAGAAAAGATGGACCTGGAAGAGTGCCTTTTAATAACGGATGCCACCCTCATTCATTTATCCATGGGCTGTCCCAGATTGGAAAAATTGGTGAGAAAATTTATGATTATCTAATATCAGACATATATCTTTTGCAACCAAGAAATTCATCCTTCGAATTGATAACTTTCTGAACGTAGAGTTTGTCTCACTGTGAACTGATCACCGATGAGGGCATTCGACAATTGGCCCTTTCGCCGTGCGCAGCGGAGCATCTAGCGGTGTTGGAATTGGACAATTGTCCCCTTATCACAGATGCTAGCCTTGATCACCTTCTACAGGCCTGCCATAATCTCGAGCGCATCGAACTATACGATTGTCAGCTAATCACCAGAGCTGGCATACGTAGACTCAGAGTATCGTATCATAACATCTCATAATTATCATCTCTTTCATTATCTATCTATTCTGATAAAATGAAAAATGTTATGAATCAAGTGACGTGTCAAAGAATCATCGTAAAGATCTAAATCAATTAAGTTCGTAACTCTCATTAACGAACTACCCGTTTCTTTTATTTCAGACACATTTGCCGAACATTAAAGTTCATGCGTACTTCGCGCCAGTGACACCACCTCCAAGCGCGGGGGCATCTCGGCAGCGATATTGCCGATGCTGCGTCATTCTGTGATTCGCATAAAAATGACTCTGATGCAAATCGTCCGATGTACCACACTACCGGTGGACTTTTAATTTCGATAGTCGCCGATTCACGGCGATCGTGGGACCTTCTCTCTTCCGGCTACCAGACCGAGACTCTGGTCGCCTGTCATCAACAGTGAGAATAAGCCTCGTCGTGAATGGAATCGCGAAACTTTCGATAGATATACCAATTCGATTCGCAACACACGCAACGAGTACAAAAGAACAGTACGTCATCATTTATATATATATATACATA